AAGTGTTGTGTAATTAGTAGTAGTGGGAACTATCGAATGAATACTATCGAAACATTCGATAGTTGCAATTCATTCGAATAATTCGATAGTTAGTAAGAAAACATTCGTTGAAAACTATTCGAATAAAAATTATCGAATAGATCCGTCATCTGCCTTGAAATATTGTATTCTAGTAATTCGGCAGCAAAAACCATTCATTTATAAAATTCATTCATTTATGAAATTCATTCATTCGTCAGGATCGATTATAATAAAATATTAACTGAATTTTAGTTGTCGCCCGGCGACGTAGGTTTCCAAACCCGACAGCGGTCGGTGGCAATGCTATGAAAGAAGCCGGCATCTTTGATTTTTTGCGGAGTCAGATATAGATAACGACACATTATTTTTTTTATTGAGGTGCTAGTATTTACACAGAAAATACATTATGAAGGGCGCTGTTGCCATATTTTGGTATTAGTTGATATTAGCAAAGAATATTATTGTTTGGCTTTAGTTAGTTAGGGATAGTATGTCTATATATTCTGAATTTTTTTTTATTAATATCCTGTTGTTACACTGCAATAATACTTGTTATTTTGGATGTAAGAAAATGATTTTTAATGTTTTTAAGCAAAGACTGGTTTAATAAATAATAATAACAGTAATAATTTGTTATACCTATTAACAACAAAATTTAAAATGATTTAATATAAATATTTTTTTTAAGTATTAGCAAAATATAAACAACAAATTAGATGTCAAAATTATTTATATTAGATCCTATTTAAAAATAATATAGTCTCTAAATTTTTTGGCAACGTTGGTTTATTGAATAATAATAATTACAGAACTAATTTGTTATATTAACAACAAATTTTAAAATCATGAAATATAAACATTTATTAATTTTCTAATCATGCAGTGTAATGGAACGAAAATATAAATAAAAAATTAGAAATCAAAATTATTTATATTAGGTGCTTTATATTACTATTTAAAAATTATATTTACTTTTACTGGCATTTACTTTAAAAAATAAATGAAATATTTCTTCGCAAAAACTACATGTAAGAGAATTAGCATAAACAAAATACAAACATCGTTAACTTTTTTTTTAAATTGGCACGTGTAAAACTTTCATTTTAATTTTCTCACCCCATAGTTTGAGTTCGATAACCATTTACTTAACCACATTACTTTAATATGATTATTAAGTTCAACTAATTCATATTATTAAAACATCTAAAATACAAATATGTACTTTTAAAATTAATTTAAGTTCATCTCATCTCTCTTAAAAATTGCTACTTCTCAAAATTTCCCATTAAAAAATAGACCATATACCATATAAAATTAAATAATTGAAAGATCGGACTACGGAAAACCACACAACTTTTCGGAAAAATTTTGACCACCTGCACATGCACACAATCGTCAATAAATAAAATTAAAAAATAACTACTATTTTAGTATTTTAACTATTTTAGTAAACGCAAAAATAGCACAGTATTTATACGGTGAAGTTATAAAAATTTGGAAGAACTAATAATGCACTGAGCATACAAAAATCAAACGAATACTAAATTTCATTTATCAAAAGCATTCGATAGTCGTGGCTCAACGATAACCATTTAGTCGCACGGCGAGGTTGTCACATATGCTTTAGTATACAAATGAATGAATGATTTTATTCGAATAAAACCATTCGATAGTTGAAATCATTCATTCATTAACCATTCGATAGTCTAATTCATTCGATAGTTCGCATCGCTAGTAATTAGGACGTCTCTACATTTACTTATTTCTCTGAACCCCGAGCAGCCTATTATTCCCAGTACTCCGGCCTGGACGCTGCGCCAATCGGCGCGCCTACTTAACCCCCGCACTGACCAAGCGCCCCTCGCTTGAGGTACCCGCCAGGCACTGTTGCCAATATTGATCGCGCGCGACGCTCGGAACGGGCGCCGCGACGCGCGCGCTTTTCTCCAGGACGCCGCGCCGCGATGCCGCCTCCCCGGGAAAATCCCCGAATTTCGGGAATTAGGTATTGTTGGTCGAAATAAACCACTTGTTTTGTATGTTTATATTTACAACTCTACAGGTTGTGAGGGGTTATAGGACAAATGGGTAGTGATATTTTCCGAATGTTTTATTGAAAAAAAAATATTTTATAGAATTTTCTTTCTCAATTTTCTTTCTTCATCAATATCTCTTTATGTGTGCTCTCAGTACCAGTTTTTGTACTTTCATTTAACTCAAGTAACTATAACTTTGTATTTTTGGTTTTATTTTATTATATAGTTTTTAAAATTCGAGAAAAAATAGTTTTTTTGGAAATAGATTTGTATGTCTGGAAACGGTTCTGCCCTTTTTTAATTTTTCTATAATTAGAGTTAATATATTGACAAGGTTTATGTCAATTTTTGTTCAACGGACATAAATCATACGATTTTATTCCAGCCAGAGCAGTGACGCTAGCACTTTTTAGTAATTTATACAGTGTGAGTCTTAAATAAGTGCAAATATTTTAAGGTGTAATATATTTCGACCCCAGAAACAGGATTATGAGGTTTTTTCGCGAAAAAAAAATTGAAAATTTTTTATTTTCTAGTTAAAAAACATGATTTCTTTATAATATGGCAACAGAGGTAGTAGATTAAATCTACGAAAAAAAAATGCAGAAAAGATCCAGTGGTTCTCAAAATTTAAGCAAAAAATCAATTTTTTTTGGAAATTGTCAAAGTAAAATAACTTTGTTATTTGGACTTATTTGAAAAAGGGTGAAGAAAAAAATATGTCTCTTTTATCGACATTGCTAACATAAACATCAGTGGTAAAATATGTCTTTTTGCGGACGACAATAGCTTCACTTGGAGCAACAAGGACGTCACGGCATTTCATAGGATTATATCACATGACTTAATCACCATTAAATTTTGGTGCGATTCGAACCTCTTGAGTCTCAACATTTCTAAAACTAAAGCTTTGTCGTATAAAAACTCGCTGCAGCCTTTTGTACTTAACAACACCACCATTGACGTCGTAAAATCTGTAAAATTCTTAGGGCTTGTTGTAGACAATTCTCTAAAATGGGACATGCATATCGACGTTTTGTCGAAAAAATTAAGCACTGCCTGTTTTGCATTAAGATCTGTTTCTAAGGAGCTTAACTTGTCAGTGGCTAGAACTGTTTATTATGCACTTTTTCCGTCGCACCTCAGATATGCCCTTCCATTCTGGGATACGTGTTGTGTGACTCAATTTGACCGCATTTTCAAGCTCCAGAAGAGAGATGTTCGATATTCACTGGGACTAAACAGCAGAACTCATTGCCAGGATTTTTTAAAAATTAAAAATATTAACTCTTCCTTCCTTATTTATATTTGAATCCGTTTGCCTAATACGTAAGCATGTATCGCCTTCTCAAGAAAGGCCATCTCACACTTATCCACTCAGGAACGCGGAGCAAGATCTTTATCTACCTACCCCACGCTCAGAGTAAGTTGAAAGTTCAATATTATACAACTCGAAAAAAATGCACAATCACCTGCCATTTGAAATCCAATCCCATAACATCATTTTCTTCTTTTCGCAAACCATTGAAATCTTATTTACTAGACAAGGCTTTCTACGCCGTAAATGACTTATATTTTGATAATCGAATTTGATCTTGCAAACACTGGTCTAATATTTGCTATTACTATCTATACTAATATATAAAATCCTTAAGTGACTGACATACTGATTAATCACGATCCTGCTCAAACCACTCAACGTAACAAGCTCAATTTTGGCATACAGGTTGATTCTAGGGTGTAGAGGTTCGATAAGAAGGGATTTTTCGAAATTCCAGTTCCAAGAGGGTGAAACCACCCCTCAAATATTACAATATTTTTTATTTAAAAACGATCAAGTTTCCGAAAAACGCTTAAACACGTATATTTTATTTTATTTTTTACATATTTTAATATTTTTATAAAATGTATACAGGGTGTTTCATAAAATATGACCATTGAGTAATCACGATTCTGCTTAAACTGCTTGGCGTTTAAAGCTGATTTTTGGCAAACGGATTGACTGTGGGGTGTAGAGGTTCGATAAGGAGGGGTTTCTCGAATCTCAAATTCCAAGAGGGTGAAAACGCCCCTCAAATATTACAATATTTGTTATTTAAAAAACGGTTAGTCTTTCGGGAAAACGCTTGGACAACCATAATTTATTTGGTTTTTTTACATATTTTGAAATATTTTAAAAAATCATACAGGGTGTTCCAAAAAGTTGGGTAATTTCTTAACCACGATTCTGCTTAAACTGCTTGACGTAAAAAGCTTATTTTTGGCAAACGGATTTTTTGAAAGTCAAATTCCAACGAGATGAAACTACCCGTCAAATATTACCAAGTTATATAATAATATCGCCATATTGTTTTTTCTCATGCTGACAAATGTGAGAAAATTTTATCCAGTTTGTATGTTAATGGAACTTCTTGCTTTGCTCTATCATCACTATTACAAATGATTAATTCGACGCGAACGAAGTCGCTGGTACACGCTAGTATTTAGTATAAACTTACTGAATATTTTTGAACCTTATTTTTATTTTTTTTATCCTTTGACATTGTAAACATTTATAAATGTTTATTTTAAACAATAAGACTGACAATGTAATTTGTATACTTCTTTTGTATTCTCTTTTATTTGTTTACTTTACCTTTGTCTACAAATTGTAAAATTATTGGCATAAAAGGCATTTAATTAATTTTAAATGGGATTTAATAAAATTTGGTTGTAACTGACTTATCTTGGTATCATAGGATTTATTTCTCCAAATACCGTTATATTAAGTTATTTTTGCCCAACAGTGGATTTATCACGTTTTGTCTGATCGCTTCTCAATTCTACGGGTATATGCCGCAGCAGGAAAACCTCTATACTCCACCCGGCAACGCCGCAGGACCAATACCGAGCGGCTAATCGCGGCGCGGGCCTCTGCTAAGACCAGTTACCCACTAGCACGGTCCTCGCAGCAATCAATCGGCGTTTTAGCGCGGTTTTCCGAGATCAAAAACACCGTCGCCGCCGAGCGTCCTGCCTTTTGCTGATCGCGAAAAACAAAAATCAGTAATCAGTCAGTGATGGATCGCGCCGAGGTAGCCAGGGTTACCGTGGTGCGATAGATTTAAGGGATTGTTTCCAGGCTTCTACCCTCAGAAGAAGACGTAGGAGTGTAGTCTTGGTGGTCCAGTTGCTGGATACCGTCGCAGGTTTCAGGAGAGCTTTCAGGAGAAGAACAAAGGATAACAAGGGCTTTATTCGATGTAAGAGAAGACTGTCTTGTTTTTTGCTGTTGTTAGTGATAATTTTCATTGTGAGAAGTTCTATACAGCAGTATACTTAGGCTTCATTCAGAATCTCGAAATTAGTGAATTAAATTGGTGGCTTCAATTTGCAAAGGAGTTTTTTTTTCTAATTTCAATGTAAGCATTCAGAACGTCAAAGTGGTGGTATTTTCCTGTTATTAAAAAAAGTTAACACACATACCACTTTGGCCACTGCAGAATTAGCCAGTAATGTCAATTTGGCCTTTGATTATCGTATTGAAATGAAAAATTTATTGTTTTCTAAGCTAGTTATTAGGCTTTCTCTGTGGATACAACCGACTACCGCATGCTGTTGCTAGGATATTCTATTAATTTGAATGGTAATTCTTAAGTATAATTAAAACCACTACTTAATTCAAATAATTTCGAGGTTCTCTATGAAGCTTTAGAACGCATAATTAAGTATTCGCGAATGGTTATAAAGGTGTTTTATTTGTTAAAAATAATATATTTGAACTGTGTTCATAGCCAATTTTTATCCATGTGAAGAGACATTGGAAGAAACTGACAAAAAAAATGTTAAATTTTTTAGTAGAAAATACAGTTAATTTGAAGGCAGTTGACAATATTTTTCTAACACTTTCTAGAAATATCTTAGAACTTTGATGACGGTGAGCGAGTCACTGTCGAAGTTAAAGAAGTTAGTAGCACTAATTCACAATCCTTGAATTATTGTTGTTACCTTTTTATACAAACAAAATCAGACGAGATCAAATCGATTAATTCTAGTTTCCTACCTTTTTCTCGACTGAAAAGTCAGTTACCGGTAGCGGCTATACAGCTAACCTTTAATGCATAAGGATATTTCGAGATTTTCCATTTTTCCCTTCTAAGCTTATGAAGCTATCTAAATTTTAAAATTTAAAGTTGGTGAACTAAAAACAATGAACAGTTTAAAAATAACTAAGTGAAAGGATAATTAAAATTAATACATACTTAACAATAGAACATTACGATCTTATTGTGGTTTAGTGGTTTTCAGTTTTTTTATTTTAGTGTAACTAAAAACATGTTTATTGTTACTCAATGGAAAGTTCGAGGCTAGAGATTTCGGAAAGAAAAATACTGAGGAAGATTTTTGGAGGAAAGAAGGTAGACAACACATGGACCAGAAGAACAAATGAAGAATTAAAGCATCTATATCGGGCACCGAGTATAACGGGAGTAGCAAGAGCACAAAGACTGAGATGACTGGGACATATTGAAAGAATGGCTGAAGCAAGAATTCCTAGTATGATAATGAGACGTGAAATAGGTGGAAAGAGAAGGAGGGGTAGACCGAGAACCAGATGGAAAAAAGATGTTGAAGAGGACTTGAGAAGGATAAGAGTGGATGGGTGGAGAATAAAAGCGAAAGACAGAAACAAATGGAGAAAGATAACCAATCAAGCCATGAGCCTTTTAGGTTTTTCGAGCTATTATATATATAAATTTGTTAAACTTCTCTAGGCATTCTTTGACCAACTTCGAATTGATGGTTACTGAGTTGATCGCTCTTAATGCTGCTTGACATCATCAGATAAGATAACTATTTCTTGTTTCCGAATGTTCCTATCTAAGATAAGTTGTACACATCTTTCGATATGCGCTTTGAGTATATAGGTATCCCAGTTTACCAAAGTCCTATTTTCCTTGATGTTTCAGAGCTTTGGTTTTCTTTGCCAACCTTTATTTTGTGTCCCAGATAGTTATATTCTCTTATCTATTTTAATATTTGATTTTTGGTGGTCACTTGAATATTTTCCGAACTCATGCTTTTGTTTTATCCAGATTCGATATTCAGAGAAAGCCGGTGAAGCTCTGCCATCATAGTTTTAAGTCTGCCACCAGTCCAAGTAGATATATTTTATTTGAAAATGCATCATTGTCTAACTACTACTTTCAAAAGAAACAGAATATGTTTTTTTTGTTTCTTCAGGCTGTTTTTCCACTTTTGATCGGGTCGCTATATACTGCCGACATAATCCGAGCTAATTGCATTATTTAATATACAAACAATCGATACTGTATCGATTATTCGTGTCGTGCGAGACGGTAAATAGGCGGAATTTTAGGTCGATGTCGCAGAAACTGGTCTTGACGGACGACGATATATATTAGTTCGATAATCGTATTTTGACGTAATCGATCCTAATCTGTAAAATTATGCCAATGACCACATTATTAATAGATAAACAGTGGCGTACATAATTAATATAAACAATAATTAGGAAAATATAAAACATATATTTGTCGGTATTGGTTTCCCTATTTTATATTTCAATAAGTTTATTATTATTATTATAATAAGTTATATTTCAATAAGTAAACGTTGGAAGATTCACATTCCAGGTTATGGATGGAGTCTTCCAGGTTTTCGAAGTCTGCTTTTAGTTGGTTTCCACTTCGGAAGCAGAATGGCTTTGGTCCAGTTAGTGGAGTGTTTGCTCCTTTTCTAGCTAGATCGTTTGATATTTCATTGCCTTCCATCCCATGGTGGGTTGCATGGCACCCAGAGTAGGAGGACTTTGTTTTCTTTGCCTGCTTGACTATAGGATAAGATGGCTATTCCTTGATTCCGGTAGTTCCTATCTGAGATAAATTGTACGCGTCTTATGAATACCGGGTGTTGCATCGTCGAGCATAGGAAATCCCATGTAAATTTTATTGGGGTCAATTATTGGCTTCCCTAATTATTTTAGAGAATAATTCTATTTAGGTTTATTGAAGAGCAGTAAAACCCACATTCAAAAGAATAACTTTAGATATTTTTGATTAGCCCGTTTACGAGTTATCGCCGATTTCTTTTTAAATATTTCTCCTTTCTTATGGCTCTGTATTTACTTATGAGCACCAGTCAAGGTAAAAGATAACTGTCAAATGAAGTTGTCATTTCAGAAATTTATCTATTTAGTGCTTTATTATTATTATTAAAAACTCATACCTACATCGAAAATATTAGCCAAAATAAAAGCTACCGAAGTAAAAGTAATATAACATATTAGCTACCGAAGAAAAAGTATTGATTATTAAATGGTATTATCATGTATTATCAAGGAAATAGGTATCAAAAGGTGTCGGACATGTTTGTTGCTCTATATCCGAATAGACCGATACCTGGAAAATCTACAATCGCAAGGAATATCCAGAGATTTGAGACCAAAGGTACCCTAATAAATAACTGCAGATGTGAAGCAAGGCAGGAACAAAGAGAAGATGCAAGAAATGATACCGGCTTGGAAGTTTTATTGTGCGTGGAAGAGAACGATGGAAAGATCAGCACAAGGAAACTTGAGGATGAAATAGGAATAGATCACACTACAGCGTTTCGAATTTTGAAACGACATAAATACTATTCCTTCAAATATGAAAAGAACCTAGAGCTACGAGATGGGGACGAAATACGGCGGCAGGCGTTTTGTTTTGATATGATGGAAAGAGCAAACACGGATAGGGAATTTTTAAAAAACATACGTTTCACTGAAGAATGCACGTTTACCTTAAATAATGAACCCAATGTTCAAAATTATCGGTATTGGAACAAAGAAAACCAACACAGGTTTGTCGAAACAAGGACGAAATATCCACAGAAAGTAAATGTTTGGGCAGGGATATTCGGACACAATATTATCGGGCCATTATTTCTTACGGAAATTTAAATGCAGAATATTATTTGGAACTACTCGAAAATCATATTTTACCTGCTTTATATGATGCCGCTAGGGAAAATCAGGAAGTTTAGTACCAAATGGATGACTGCCCGGCACATAGTACCCTGGCTGTTCGGGAATATTTAGACAATAGTTTTAACGGAAACGTTATTGGCCTAAATCATACAGTAAAATGGCCAGCAAGGTCTCCTGATATTTCGCTAAATGATTTCTTTCTCTGGGGCCATTTAAAAACAGGATATACAAGGATAAAAAATACCCAAATCTAGACGAGTTAAAAAATGCTATTTCTGCCGAATGCAATAGAATTTCAGTTTACCAACTAGCGAATGTAAGAAGAGAATTTTATGATCGCCTGGGTTATTGTCTAGCAGTCGATGGAGGAATATTTGAACATCTTCTTAAATCCTAAAGTTCTAACAATTTAATAGTACCTACATTAATAAGTTATTGAATATTGTAATAATACTATAATTAATGATTTTTTACTTGTAATTGATTACTTTATTTTACTTTAATTCTTATTAATTTGTATTTATAAATATATCTTTAAGATTTCCGATGTAGGAATGAGTTTTCAATAATAATAAAGCACTAAATAGGTAAATTTCTGAAATGACAACTTCATTTTACAGTTATCTTTTACCTTGACTGGTGCTCATAAGTAAATACAGGGCCATAAGGAGAAATATTTAAAAAGAAATCGGCGATAACTCGAAAACGAGTTCGACGATGTCCCGTCCGACGATGCAACACCCGGTATAAGTGTGATGTAATAATAGCCTAGATTTCTGCCTGAAGGATGCTGGGCATCACTGACTAATCGCACTGACATAGAACGTCTTTTATCGTTTCTTCCTATGAATGACTTAATCTGCACCTGAGTTCGTCTGAGATTGCGGTGCCTTATTTACTGTCCTCCATTCACGCGGTTGTGCAGCTCTGAACTGTTCAAGAACGCGATACTCTCACTCCATTCAATTGAGTCATAAAGTTCAGAACTGTTCCGCGCCATATGGAGGCACCAGGCTATCGCGCACAGCTACCTTTCAGAACCGCTAGTAGCCCAGGGCGTAAAGCTCTGAAACTCGCGAATGGAGGACACCAATTATTGTAAACCCAGACATTTTTTTTGTCTGTGTTATTATCGCATACAGTTTGTACCAATATACTTTGTCCTTTATGTCAAAAACAATAAAATTTGTTTTATATGAAATTAGAACAAGGAATATAAAGAGTGCTAGCAAAAATTCACGAATGGTTTTTAGTACAAACAGAAAACCAGGT